GAAGAGCAGATCACTCTCCTTCGACTGGGTTCTTGCTCCTCCTGCCACCCTTAGGACCAAGCCTTGCTCCTATGGACCTGAGTTGTGGGAGCCTGAGGTATAATGGTCATGATTTTGTTGAGGGTCATGACCTTCTTACTTATCACTTCCTTCATTGAACCCCAATCTGCCTCCTAGAAGACATTTGCTCCACAGATAGAGTTGTGTGTGGGGGTGGGGACAACACAGAGCTTAAGCATCTTTGTTTTGTTCAGATAACAGATACCTTTTGAGTTCCACTCTGTGCCTGAGAAAGTGTTGGGCACAGAATCAGTGGTGATAAATCCTTTGCTAAGTCTGAACTGATCTGGGGATTGAGACAAGCAGTCAAACCCAGTGTGGCCAGTGCTGTGCTGGGACACAAGCTAGGAATGATTAGAGGGGCAGAAATGATTTTGCAGAGGAAGTGATACCTTGACTGGCACATTAAAAGATGAGTAGGAGTCAGTTGGATCAAGAGTAGGAAAAGTGTGTTTCCATGAGAAAGAAGAGCACATGTGAAGTCTCAGTGCTGAGGAGGAGCACGGATTTTTTTTTTTTTTTTTTTAGTTGGAGTCTCACTCTGTTGCCCAGACTGGAGTGCAGTGGCCGCTCCCGGCCACGGCAGCCTTGACCTGCTGGGCTCTGGCGATCCTTCCACCTCAGCCTTCCGAGTAGCCGGAATTACAGGCATGCGCTACCATGCCCGGCTGATTTTTTGATTTATTGTAGAGATGAGTTCTCGCTCCCCAGGCGGGTCTTGAACCCGCGGGCTCAGGCAATCCACTCACCTCAGCCTCCCAAAGGCGCGGGATTACAGGCTGAACCACCGAGCCCGGCCGAGAACGGATATGTTAACAGAAAGTCATGGCTAGAACTTGGATGTGGCTTAGAGAGAGGGGAGAGAGGACGAGGAAAGGTATTAAGAAAAGCTTTGTGAAACTGTGTTAAGGCACTTCAATTTTATTTTTAGAGCTTGGAGAAGCCTCAGGATATTAAAGCAGAGTGGCATAATGGTGTTGGATTTTCAAAAAATTTCTCTGGCAACATGGTGAAAAATGATTGGCCGAGGAGGGTCAGAGGCAGAAGGTCACTCAGTGGGCTGTGACAATAATCTGGGCAGGAGATGGTATGGACTGTGGTGGTGATTGGGGGACCCAAGACAAAATTGGTTTTGTTTTGAAAAATAATTAGAACTCCATGGGTGTATGTGTGTGGTGGAGAGTGAAGAGGGAGACAGTCGGATCTAAAATAATACCCATATTTCAGGCTTCATGGAATGGTAATGAGTAGGAACGAATTGGTGAGGATAGGAGATAGCTCTGCTTGGGATACATGCATCTTGAAGAGTGTGACAGAGTCAAGTCTTGGTGGATGGGGGCACTTGGACATACAGTTCTGAAGCCAAGGAAAGAGATTTGGGCTGAGGTGACTGCCAGAAAAAACTAAGGAGAAAGTGTGACAGAAGGAAAAATCCGCAATATTAGATTTCTCTGAGGCTACTGCTTTTTAATCTCTACATATGGGGTCATTGTTAATTTTCATAACATGTGTAGACTTTCTGTGTGATGATAAAACAAAAACAACTGCTACTGAAAGAGGGAAAGTAAGAGAGAAGGAAAAAGAAAAAGGCGAGAGAAAGGAATCCCAGGGAAGCGCCTTATGAGTCCTATTGCCGCAGGAGCTGAGGTTGGCCTAGTGGTTCCTGTTTACAGGTGTCTCCCCTCCCCACTTTCTGGTTCTGTTTCACTTGCCTTCTGTCCCCTTCATTTATTACTAGTCAAACCCTAAGACTCTTTCTTTTTATTTTTTTTTTGGTGGGCAAGAAAATGGTGATGATTATTTTTCCAAACCTTTACCTGATGTTACATCTCGGCTTAGGCCTTTTGAGCTTGCTTCATCCAGGCCTAGCCAGGAAGAACTTTGGAGCCAATCTGGTCACAGGTACACAGTGTTCTTTTCAGCTAAAACAAAAAACAAAAACCCACACTGTATGTTTCACTAATACAGCTGGTGTGAATTGGCTTTTCAAAAAATTAACTCTACTTCAGGAAGATTTTCTCATTCATTTTTTTTCACAAGATCAAATGCTAAATTTTAAAAAGAAATTTCTTCTTGAAGCAACTTAAGTCCATTGCTTTAATAACACATGTTGACCAAGTTATACTTATAAAGAAAAAAAAATTACTTTGTTTTTCTTCTTCTGATGTGAGTTGAAGACTTATAAATAGTTGTTAAAGTTATTTGGTTAAGAATGTTTTATTGCATATATCAAATATGTACTTAGCACATTTTTCTTTTTGCCATTTTATCAATTCTAGCCTTGTCACAAAAAGTTTGCAGTATGAACATGATTATGTTGTGCACCTATTTTCCATTGTTGTTAAGAGATGAATCCAGTTGTAAAAATGTAGCATATTTTATGCGTTAGACATGTTAGTTCAGGAATTTCACTTGGTCCTACAAAGATACACATCTATGGTGGATGGCCAATACAAACGTCAGACTAAGCCAACTGGCTTTTGATCTATTTCAGTTCCCCCATTTTCTTCTGGCTTACAAAATAGCTGGTCATGGGAAGAAAGTGAGTCAAAGACATATTTGGTTTGAATGGTTATTGACTGTTTACTTCTGAGACAATGTACACTCTTTAAAAAATTTTTTTTTTAGATATGGGGTCTTGCTCCATCACCCAATCATGGAGTGTAATGGCACAGTCATGGCTCATACCTCAAATTCCTGGGTTCAAGAGATACTCCCTCCTCAGCCTTCTGAATAGCTAGGACTACACCACCACACTACACCACCATCTGGTCAAATACTCATTGTTTTTAGAGCTAAAATTGAACAACATATATTGCATAGGAGCCTAACTATTAAACATTTCTTTAAAGTATCAAAAGAATATACTTTTTGCTTGGAGTTAGCACCCACTCAAATAAATTTTGTTTCTGGTTCTAGTACTTCCTCAATTTTTCTTTATTAATAAGGAGAGTTCTAGAATTAATAACTGTGCCTGGATACTTGAGTCAGTGTGTGGTCTTTTACTGAAGTTACAGGTTTATAACTCTGCTGACTAGTTTGCTGGTTTCTATTATGCAATAGAAGTGTACAGATGTTAATTTTATTTGAAGCCTGTTTATACAGTGACTTTTACAATATGTATCTAAGTTTTATGAAACCAGCATTGCTTGTCAAGTCCCCACTCCACCCTATTCTAATTGGGACTAACCCTTAAGTTGAGTAAAGAACAAAGAACTCTGTAGTTAAAACCTTCCACGACATGTTGTGTCTTACCCTTGGTAAGTGGAACTACAGAGACTTAAGCAGAGAATATGAACTATAGGGTGAAATATATACTCAGTTTTTGTGGAGAGGGATGAGAAACATGTTTTTAAGTAGTATATATCATTCCCTTAGTCTAAATTGGGCATTATCCCAAGATATGTAAGAATGTAGGCTTATATAAACAAACTTCTTTATTAAAACATGTCAATATTTATTAATTTTTAAGTTTTAATGTTCTGCATACAATAAACCAGACATCTTTTGATGGATAAAGGAATGAAGGCAACTTCTAAGTCTTAAAACAGAAACTTCCGGTGGGCAATTGAACGTATGTACCTGGTACTCAGAGAAGAGTTGGACTGGGAGTATAAATTTGTGAGTGACTCATATTTGGTAATGATGGAAGCTGTGAGCATGGACTAGATTCTCTTGCAGGAGAACACGGAGAAGAGGGACTAAGATTGAGCCTAAGTGGCTCTGGCTTCATGCTGGATGGAGGGAAACGAATCTGCAAATAATACCCAGAAACCATAGCACGAGAGGCAAAAGGAACGCTGGGAGAGTTTTGTGTTTTGGAAGCTAAGCCTGTTTGAAGGAAGGGAGGTGTCAGTGTTGTCAGCTGCTTCAGATGGGTCAAGTATGAAGTAGCCTACAAAATAACCATTGAATTTGGTAACAGAAATCATAATCTTAGGGAAGCTGTTTTTGTAGGGGTTCCTAAGGTGGAAAACAGATTGGTGCCAGTTGAGCCATGCGGGAGGGGTAAAGAAAAGGAGATCTCAAGTGCAGGCATTTCTGAAGAGTTCAACTGGGAAGGAGGGACAAGGTGCAAGATCGAAGTTAAGAGAGGGTATGAGGCAAAGGGGACTACTTTTATGGGACAGACTTGCATGTGCAAAAGTCAGTGAGAAGCAGCATTTGAGCAAGAGATATTCAATAAACAGAAGAGGGAAAAAAGAACTAATCATAAAATAACAGTAATAACAAATGATATCTCTTGTGGGCTTATCACATCTAAAACATTGTGGTAAACCCTTGACAGACATTCTCACATTCAATTCTTAACATAATTTTACGTCGCGGGTGCCATTATTTTCTCTGGTTTACAGAAGAGGAATTTGAGACCCAGAGATATTAAATAGTTTGTTCTACTAATCAGTGATGTGCTAATTACTAACTGAACGATGGAACTTTGTCACTACCCAGCCTACCACCTCCGGTTTGAGGCTTGAATTTAAGTATTCTGTGCTTCATTTGAATATCTACTTAAAGAAATGCTTTAAATTATATTTTAGGAAAGGCCACTTTGAAACTGTCTGAAGATTCTATTTCTAAAAGCTCTACCCTGACAATTTTAGTCAGTTGCCTGGTTAAAAAAAAAAAAAAAGAAAATGGCTGTATCTACCGAGAAAATGTAACCTTGTGGGCACATATACAACCTCGCGCTGCAAAATATTGGCTGTGTGACCTGAGGGCGATTTGCTCAAAGAATTCCTGAAGCAACTGACTGCAGGAGAAATTAAATCCATGAGAGGTTTTGTGTGCACTTCAAGCAGGACAGGAAAAGGCAGGCAGGCTGTGTAGCAACTTAGTAAGGCCAAGCGAGTGATAGGAAAACATTCTCCAAAGGGCTAAGCTCCTGAGTGTCTAAGTTTCCTAAAATAATATTAATTCTGTCCTCTTGCTTTTAATAGGACATAATGACTACATGTGCCCAGCTACCAACCAGTGCACCATTGATAAAAACAGGAGGAAGAGCTGCCAGGCCTGCCGTCTCCGCAAATGCTATGAAGTGGGCATGATGAAAGGCGGTAGGTGCTTCTCACCCAGGGACCTTTGGGGGTGGTCTTGGCCACTGCCTGGCGCTGGCTATTTCTGTTCGAATAACAACTGTGGGAATTTATTGTTTCTTCTTCTAATGAAATGTTTTTCCTCTTATTTTTTCTTTGCAACAAAAGTATTTTGATAATACATTTTATTTTTAAAAAATAAAACCTGTTGAACTGGAAATTCTAACATGCCATTTTGTGTTTTTGATTTTCAATGTAAATAATTATATTTTAAACCAAAGGTGTGTGGGAGGCGGTGGTAGAAGGAAACGAAGACTGCTCAGTGAATTCTTCTAGAAACATTTTCCAGTTACTGCTTATATCACTAATGCTAAAAAAAATGATGTCTGAGGATAAACTTTTATAAATGTGAAAGCTAAGTAGCTCATTTGTAACCTTCCAGACTCTTACCATCCTTTAGGGAATTTGAATTTCAATCCAAAGGCAGTTTCCTCCTTTAGAAATTGTCTATTAGTCACTTTCTTAACCTCAGTGTCTCGCATGGTGCTGGGACAGTTAAATGATTACTGAGCACTAACAAATCCCAATGCACGCAAGACTTGTGCCTGTGGGCTTGTGTCTTTGTAGGTGTGTGTGTGTGTGTGTGTGTGTGTGTGTGTGTGTGTGTGTGTGTCTTCTTCTGTATCCAATCTCCCAGTTTTCTTATGCAGGAATCTGGACTCCAGTAGTTCTGGGATATTGGATTCTCCATAAAAGTGGTTGCCTGATTGAGTTCATTGTATTCTTATTTATTTGTTTATTTATTTATTTGAGTTGGAGTCTCACTCCATCGCCCAGACTGGAGTGCAGTGGCCG